ATTGATTTTGAATTTCAAAAAAAAACAAACTTTAAGTTTTTGATCAGCTTCATCATTTATTGTTGGACGTAATTCAATAAGTTGAACTTTCGTACGTTGAATTATTGATAACATTGTACGAGCATTTTGACGTAATTTTTCTTGTTCTTCAACTTGTTGATCAAGATTTTCAATTGTTTTGTTGTTTCATTTTTTAAACTAAGATTTAAATAATAAAAAAAAATTAATAAAACAAAAGATATTTGTTTATTTAAATTACTTTAGAAGATCTTGTAAAATATCTTCTTGTTTTTTTTCTAATGAACGAATTATTTGTTGATCACATTTTCTTTCAGTTAATGTTAATATTAAATCATTTACTTCAGATAAATGTCATGTTTCCAAATCAACATCTTTGATAAAACTCTTTAAAAATAAATGCGGAAACTTCGGATTTAAATCCGAGAGTTATGTGTACTGAAGAAAAGTCAATCAGACAGATGAGTCATCCGACGAATGTCTGGATATCAAAATTATACTGGGAAACCTTTCCTATAACACTCTTTATTTCTGTTGACTATTGGTCCATCAATAGGGCTTGGAGGCGAATTGAGTGAAAATTTCAACTCTTACCCTTGATTAACCCTAACGAAAGTCGTTTTTTCTCTATAACTTGATTTCTATTGGTCACTGCTCAACCAATAATATTTCGAGGCAAGTGGAGTACGGATTCGAGTTCTCCGCCCCAGAAAACCTCAAAGTATCAACTCTATGATCGGGACGATAGAGATCGAAGTGTCAGTCAATTAGATCGTGGACAAAAACGGAACCCATTTCCCTTTATTTATCTTTGTAATAGGTGAGTTAGCCTTCTTGTTACTTTATGTTTTATATACCATTTTGTAGCTCGTGAAATTCTCTATCGAAAGGTATATAATAGTTGGGGTTTTATTTAACTATGATAGGAAAAGTTGTTTACGAAAGCCAAGATGGGTCAGTTTTCACATAGGAAGCTGTAGGGAAAAATGACAATTTTTGCAATAACTCACGAATGGCTCGGCCGATCATGCTCATCTTCTTCTCTCGACCGAGACATTGTTAAGACTGAACTGTGTAGAAAATTTCATCGTAATCTGACTCTCCTTTCAAAAGTTCTCGTGTTAACGGCCGGACACACTGACCGATTCGTCGAGTGTATGAACTTTTTGAGTACACAAAAACTCAAGGAAAATTTTCTTTTTATTTTTACCAGCTGGCAAAGAAGCTTGTTGAGGAAGAAAGATATGATTAATTCCACCAATTGTTTGTTCAATTGATAAATTACTTCCAATAATATGAAGGCCTAAAAAAAAAAGCAAGAGATTTATTTGAATAAAAAAAACCGAGTAAAAAAAATGGAATTATCGTTGATGAGTAGATACATAAAATGTTTGATAATTTGATAAACTAACATGAATTATTGGTGCACCAAGTTGTGGTACAAATGTTGGTTCACGTTTTTCGATAAATCCATTTAACAAGTACACATTGATCACCACCAAATAATAAATATCAATCTTATATATATATATTATATTTAAAGAAATTTTTAAAAAGAAAAAAAAACGAACGATCAAATGAAAATGTTAAACAAAGGAGAGATAATGAATACCAATGTAAATATGATATTGTTGGTTGTTTATTTGTTGAATTTATAAAACTATACCTATAAATAAAAAATCGAAATTATTTAAATATATAAGAATAAAATCTCGTTTGTGAGCAAAGAGCAATTCGACCAGATTATCTTCCTAATGCAATAGATTCTTCATTTCGATGAATTTGTGCAGATGTTATGTTATCATTATATGATTTATTTTTTTTTATTATTATTATATATTTAATATATTTAATATGTATATTATTATTCCAAGAATATTTCTAAAAAGATATATTTTACCCGTTTAATTATAATTCAATGTAAATTAAAATAAAATAGTGTTTTTATAAAATGAAATTGATTTTGGTAAACATGGAAGTGTTATCAAATAAAATAATAGGTAAAGATTTATCAATAATTGATTCAATTCGATAAAGAGAATATACTTAACATAATAAAATATTTGTTGTGTACTCAAAAAGTGAGTACACTCTAGAATCGGTCAGTGTGTCCGGCCGTCCGGCCGGCCGTCCGGCCGTTAACACGATAACTTTTGAAAGGAGAGTCCGATCACGATGAAATTTTCTACACAGTTTAGTCTTAACAATATCTCGGTCGAGTTCGAAGATGAGCATGATCGACCGAGCCATTCGTGAGTTATTGCAAAAATAGTCATTTTTCCCTATGGCTTCCTATGCGAAAATCGACCGATCCCAGCTTTCGTAAACAACTTTTCCTATCATAGTTAAATAAAACCCCAACTATTATATACCATTCGATAGAGAATTTCACGAGCTACAAAATGGTATATAAAACATAAAGAAACAAGAAAGCTAACTCACCTATTGCAAAGATAATTAAACGGAATTTGGTTTTGTTCTTGTCCACGCTCTAATTGATCTACAATTAGAGCTCTATCTTCCGATCATACAGATGATAGTTCGAGGTTTTCTGGGGTGGAGAACTCGAATATGTGCTCCATTCGCCTCGAAATTCCATTGGTTGAGCAGTAACCAATAGCAATCAAGTTATAGGAAAAAAGACTTTCTTAGGGTAAATCAAGACGAAGAGTTCAAATCTGAGCTGTATTTACCCCAAATCCTATTGGTTGAGCAGTAGCCAATAGAAATCAAGTGTTTATAGAAAAAGTTTGCCAGGATAATTTTTATGTCTCCACATTCTAGGATGACTCATCTGCCTCATTCACTTTTTGAAGTACACATAACTCTCGGATTTAAATCCGAGGTTTCCACATTTATTTTTTTTTTAATATAAATAAAATATTTACCATTTTTATCATATTCACCGCATAGATATAAACCTGACTTAACGATTGAATATAAGTCAATTATTTCAAATTCAACTTTTATTGTCTAAATAAAACAATTTTGAAATAGATTATTGATGTGTATTTTTTTTTCAAACGTTATTAAATCTTATGAAAATCGATCATTGATTATTGGAGCGACTTTTCTATATTCAGACTTCTATATAATCAATATAATAGAAAAAAAAACATAAGAATCAATTTTTAGACGAATAGTTGAGAAAACATTTCTCAACGATAAATTTAAAAGAAAGAATTAATCATTCTCTAGAAATTTGTCAAAGATCGAATTCTTCTATAGAAATGAGACATCGAACCAATTTAGATCTTCTTCTTTTTTCAAAAAATCGAAATTATTTTAGTTGTTAATAATGAGAATCATTTTATTTAGTGTCAATGTCAAATAGAGAATTTAAATTTCGAAACGAATTTTTTATTATTTTATTTAAATGTTCTTCAAGACGATTGATAATAGATAGTTGATTTATTTCTAAACGATAAATATTATCTCGTTCTATTTATATCATATATAAAACAATTTTATATTCTATTACATAATCAACGTTTACTATCAATTGACAATGATAGAGAGATCATTGATCAGTTAAATAAGAGGATCGGCTATATATTCATAGGTTAAATAGTCAACTTATCAGATACTTTAATCATTTCCGTCTACAATTTCATCAATAACTACTAATAAACTAGTGAACGTTTTTTTTTTTTATAAAAATCCTTTTCGTCGATCAGAAAATATCGGTAAAGAAGATCAATCATATTTAAAAGAGGTTGTCCTAAGTTTTTATTGAATATTGACCAGTAAAATAATGAAAGATTTAAATAAATGGTTACCATAACCGATTAGTTGAATAACAGTTTTCAATTATATCAATAAATTCAATTCGAAATAGAAACAAAATATTGATAAAGAGTGTCTCATTTCAAAGCATCACTATCTAACAACAACATCATCTTATTTAATCACAATCGACCTTTTACTATAAACGATTGTTAAAATCTTATTTATTCGAACAATTCAATATTTGACATAGTTTAATAGAAAAAAATTCCCTGATTGAACATATATAGAGAGAGAAAGAATATATTCGAAATAAATCGAAATTTATCATATCAATATAATATTGAGATAATCAACAATCAACCAAAATATATATATATTCAATCGAACCGTCGTCAAGTAGATTTGTTCTTCTATAATCAAATATGAGTTAAATCGAACGATCTCAACAACGAATAACAAGACAAAAAAAAAAATTAATCAACAAGATTTTTTTCCGTTCGATAGATCAAACATTCGAAAAAAAACACAAGATAAAGATAATCAAATTGAGTGTAGTCAACTAGTCCGAAAATACAGGCTGTTTCATAAATAACACTCCGATAAGAAATTAAAATATCTCCGCTAGATGTCGACCAAATGAGCTGATATTTTTACCAGTGATAGAGGCATGTACCAAGTTTATATCCATAAGGACATGTCTAGGGAGATCCTTTGTTAACTATCACTACTGACTGAAGACAAGAAAAATTTACTATTTCACAGTTTGAAAAAAAATCACTTAGCCGAAAAAAATTGAATATCTCCACTATGGCTCGAGCTAACGAACTGATTCTTTTATCAATTCAAGAGGCATGTTCAAGCTTTATATTGATAATGACATGCCTAGAGAGATTCTTTGCTAAGTATATTGTTTTCTATCCTATCTGTGAAAAAGTAAAATTATTTTGTTGAGGTCAGCAGTGGTACTTTATAAAGGCTCTCTCCAATATTGTCCATATGGATTTAAAGTGTCAACATGCTTCTATTATTGGTAAAAAAATCAGCCCGTTTGCTCGAACCTTAGCGTA